TCTTTCTCGCGTTTTAACTGTGTGAATAAGTCTAATTAAGCGTAGCCTTTGGTACCTAGCGCCATGTTTCGCATGATCAAACGTTTGTCCATGACCTCGCGAACTTTCCCTCGACGAATATTAAGCAATTTCTACACCTTTATGAAAATCTATGATGCAGTAAAATACAACTTTAATTGCTAATTCATGATGCAGTAAAATTCAATTTATTCTTTTAAAGAACTGGGTTCATATTTTATTATATAATAACGTAAAGAATTCAAGCAATTTCATTGGTCGAGAGCCATGATCTATAAGAGGACAGACGCACGGAATGACGTCACAGCAATTTTCTTTTTACCGGTTTAATTTTTGATTTTTTTCAGTTTTATTATATAAAACAAATAGATTACAATGAACCGTTGTCTGTTCAGTTATAGATACACGGTATGACGCCATATGTGATAAGAACAAAAGAGTGACCACTCGCCCCGGCGGCTCGTGGCCACTTTTTTTGTTCTTATCACATATGACGTCAAACCGTGTATCTATAACTGATCAGACAACGGTTCATTGTAATCTATTTGTTAAATCTTTCACCAGTGGAAATGACTGGTGATAAAGACGAGTAAAAAATTTGAATGTTTAAATTTTATTTTTAATTGTTGAATGGAAAACTTGACAGGCTATGTTTGGTACCGCTGCTCTAAATCTAAAGGAACAAATTATATGCTTTCGTTTAAGGTTAGTGGGAATTGCAAATGAACATAGCCAATATAGATCGAGGTATAGATACCTGGATGATTTGTCGTTTGTGAAACGGGACTCCAGTCAGTAGAGTAATAATCACCCTACAGGAAGAGAACAGCTTATTTTATGAATTTGTTAAAAAGCCTGAGAGTACAGACTTTAGATCCCGTAGGTTAACGCCGTCCAAACTCGTTTCTCAACTTATATCTGTATAATGATATCATCTATCCTGAAAATTCTCGTTGAATCTTGCAGTAAGAATTAACTTTAACTGAAATTATACTGGGAACAGTGTCTTGAATATTTTATAGTTCAAAGTTATAACGAACTGAAGACATTTAATTTATCTTTTCGACAAACTCCCTCGAGCAATGTACTTTCAGTTCTTTCTATGGAATTCTACACCGGCCCATGAATTTCAGTGTCAGAAATAGAAATGTTAACTACCTTCTTAAAAATATGTCTCCGGCAGACAGCCTCGCACGCCTTGAACCCCAAATAATGCATTAAACAATACACAAATACCTTGTCATTGATGATAATCCTTTGAAAAATACTGTAACGAGTGCCAGGCTCCAGCGGACCATTAAAATATTCTTTTGAATCTAAAGTATCACTAGTTGAATCACTTGTATTTCTGCCATCACCAAGTACAAACATGTCTTTTTGAAAATCGCTGGACGAGAATACTGCAGCAATATACGGTTGTGGATTGGTTAAATTTTTAGCTTCGGCATACATCACCAATTCATCGTTCTCGTAGCGGTCGGATGATAAGGGCTTCTCGTCGTCTTTCAGTTTCCAAGCCACCACATAGAAACGCCTAAAATCAATTGATACCTTGTGTATTTATTACTCCGGCGTGAGCAACGGAGTTGAAAATTGGCCTTGGTTTTGTTTTGTTTTCCTTTTTTTTTTTCGTCGTCGCAAGTTTTTTTTTACGCGAAATCTACTAGTATTTGAAATGTGTATGTGACCGTATTTATCTACGTCACAGTTTTGTCTCCCAAGAGTTGTGGTGCACAGCTTTGGTTAATTTTCCGATGCGCGATTCGATTTCGCTCGCATGATACGGCAATTCCTCCAAGAGGAACAAATAAACCGTTCTCTTGATGCTGGTCGATTAAGTTTAGATTTAATTGGGGTAAAAATATATTTAATACATGTAGATTCTGTTCCTATTTTAATAATATCGCTGCTATTTTGCCGTTTAACAAAATGTGGTCGTGTATGAGCGCGTTGACACGTCGCAGTTTGCACAGAATTGAATATTTAATATAAGCGCGAATTCCAAAGGCAAAGTGTAAGACAAAGTGAACGTATTATGCGGTTAATTTACATTTTTGAACAATTGGACTTCTATACTTTTTAAAGTACGATGTCCTTCTGAATTTCCCGATCGCATAGCATTCAGTTTGGCGAGGCATCTAAATGAGTATGAACTGTATTGTTTATGTTCAGAAGCTTTACATTGAAGACTGGCACGTGCGCGCCACGCCGGGGTTAACGCCAGAACAAGCGTCTTGTTTACTTCATGCATTGATGTGTGCTGGTTTGTCGTCAGCGGCCTCTAGTCCTCCAAAGAGGTTAAGAGGCTAAGAGGTTCTACCAAATTCGCGCGCATAGTTTTGTTTACATGCACCTGTAGGACTCAGAGCTTATTTGCCGGTGAGCGGCAGTAACATCAACTTTCGCGTATTTCCGGGACAAACCACAATATTTTGTACTTTCTTTAGTGTTTTTTCGTATTTCCTTTGTTATTTTTTGTGAATGGAAGGTGATCGAACGGCGACAGGAACTATTTATGTGGAGTATCTGGTCTCGGATATTTTTCTCCAGTCCCCTCTCTCGCAGGCCACGCTCATTTGATTAAATACTTACTTAAACATTATCGTAGGAATCTCCAAGGAAAAGTTAAGTGTACTTGGTGTTGCTCCAATCGCTTTCTTCACTGCTCCTATGATAACACATTGACATGTTTGTTAAGTAAAATCTACCGAAGTTGCGTTATGTTCAATTCATTTGGTACAAGATAGTCTAGCTAGCAACGATGCGGCGATAGTTTGCACTCGTATGATTTCGCGCCCTTTTTTTTATCTTTATGGAAAGACTCTTCGCCGATACGGGAAACGACAGATTAGGGCCGTATAGCCAGTTTAATTGGGGCGGGGTGTATATTCATAGTATACGAATATATGAATATACCCCCGATTCCTCATTAAGCTACGCCAATGCCTGAGAGATAACTTTCCAAAATATTTTCAATTGAACTTTTTGAACCGAACTTGAGAAATAAAGCTATTCTGCTTCTCCAACCTCACGATTGGCTCGCATTTCTTCTTGACTGGGATTCTTCGTGCGTTTAATGCTCAGCTCAATTTGTGATGTATAATTATTTCAGAAGTTGACTCGTCCTTCGGACTCGCGCTATTTTGCAGTCTTTAAAAATTCACTCGTGCTTGTTAATCCGTAATTGCACTCGAAATTATACTATTTCCTTTACCAATCATACACTATACACTTATTGTATGCTTCTGAGGGAAATAGTGAGTTTCGTTTTCCCAAGAGCGTGGAATCATAAGAGTGCAAACGAAACGAACGAGACGAAGTCGAGGGAAACATTGACTAGCTATTTCCCGAGGTAGTGTACATTAAGTGCTTTGTTATATAGGAACAAAAACATATACATGGCAACAATTTCATTAAAAAAAAACACTTAATATGTTATGACAATATGCGGTCAACAATTTTTCACTTGTTCCCTGGCGGGAAACATTGCACTTATTTTAAGTCATGTGACTACGGATGAACCAATCACATTTAAAATGAACAGCTCCTATATATAACAATAATGATTAAATCGAATAATTTCTACTTACGTTCATTCGTTAAAATTCCTTCACTGTTGCTGTAGTTACCGCTTCCAGCTTTATTACTGGCCAGAACGCAAACATAATATTTTGTTGCTGGTTTCAGGTTCCATAAAAGCCACTCTGTTTCATCGGTAATAAATTTCTGAAAGCAAGATCCATTTTCTGAATGTGAAAGGCACGCAGTGTAACTGGTAATGACGCCATTTTGTTTACTTTTCTCTGGAGGATCCCAGCCAAGAAGCAAAGATGATGCACTTCTTGATCTTGCTTTGATGTTCATTGGAGGACCACTTGGGGCTAAATGTTCAAAAAAACGATTTGCAGTTTTCTTATTGGGACAGCATGGGGTGTTTATTCATATACTCAGTTCTTCCTGACGAATTTCTTTTGTAAGTGCAATAAGGGTGGCGGTTATAGGGACGGCTTCAAACAGAAAATATTTCATGCGCGGAACATGACAACAGTACTAGGCTACCAAACCCTTCGATTACTAAGACAAAGCGTTTACACTTTAATTGTCATTTTGCAAAACATTAGGAAACGTACACAGGAACATTATTTTATTCATCATGGCTTGAATTTGACTTAATTTTAATCTAAAGTCATATACTCTATTTAATATCAATGCAATACAGTACACAAAGCTTATATATCATCCAATACATACCTTCTTCGGATGTTAAGAACAGAATAATTGCCTTTTTCCCGTATCCATTGTGATTACCAGCAGAAACGGATATTTCATACGTAGTGAACGGAATAAGATGGTGCATTGCATATTTATGAACAGATTTATTCCTGGTGATGTTAAGAATTGGCGAGATATCTTTCGTGAGAATAATTAAAAACAGAGAAACATGTCGCGCCCAAGAGCCTCCGTCATTAGGATTTTCAGGATCTAGCCAAGATACTTCGACACTTCGGGACGTGATGTTATTAACTGTTAAATTTCTAGGTTTGTATGGCAACGCGGCTTGGAAGAAAAGTACGAGATAAATTTTTATATTGTGCAAGACAAAAAATCTATATTCTCTGGCAGCAGGAATTAACTCTATGCCGCTCTCCATTATATTTGAATTTCTATACAGGCCGTTTTATATTGGTATTTTAGAGTGTTTCAAGAACTGTGCATTCAAGTATATCGTTATTTGCATCTGCTTAGCACGGGGAATAGTGTTTCACCGCCTTATACGACTATCTCAATTCAAAATAATATCGTAACTTACCGTATCCACTGGTCTCGACTCTCATACATGGCTGACCAACATATGCTACAGGGATAAATCTCAAAGCTCTTGTTTTAATGTAAAAATACCTCCTATATCCTCTAGCTGCATGATCGTAAGCATTTTTATTTCCTTGAAAAATCTACAGGAAAAAATAAAAAATGAACATGTTTCACTTCCCAGGTTCGTATAAGGACATTTTATTGTAAGCGACAGCATTAGTCACATTACCACTCACCCCGTCCCTGTATAGTCTCCAGATAACCAAATCTAGGGTGTAATTAAAATTATACGTGGCGACCCATTTTGGACTAGTGCTGTCACCATACGTTATTAAATGAAATAACCAATACAGCGTATCCAGGTCCACTTGAAGATAATGCTTATCATTTGCGACAGGAGCACACCAAGAACTTCCGCTTGACATTCTTGCATCGGAAGGACTGTGACCCTTTGTAGAGGCAGAGGCAGAAAATGATGAATCAGGAAAATTTACTCTATCACCAGCTAACAACGGTCTGAACTCTTCCAGAAATCCTGAAGGGCGAAAAATTTTGATTAATCAAAATTTTAATGTACAATTCTGCCTATTGAAAGCCTTTTTCGAACTTTATAGGTATTTCAAATCACGTGTGTTATTCTTCCTACATTGGCGACTTTTTTGTTTAATTCTCCTTTCATTTATCCCTGTGTTCATTCTATTAAAGCGTTCCTATCTCTTACCGTAAAAAGCACATTCAATGTATGATAACGCAGAACAAACTTTCGTGGAGGCAATTGTTGAACACTGGGATAAATATTTGTAATCATAAGAACAGGTTAAATTTCCCGAAAAAACAGCATCTCTAGCCCCCTTTGGAACAGACATATTAACCAGTAATTTTGGATAGTCATAACCAAGGTAACGACATAAGATTCTGACGTCTGGGTACTTTTTTAAACTTTTCCAACAAACATTCATTGTCCCACTATCTGTGCTAATTTTGACAACACCGTTGAAAGGTAGAGATGAATGTGTCAAGGACACATCGTGAACTACAAAGAAAAAGACCGATAGAAAAATTATCGAATGCAATTGTTAAAGATCATCGCCCGTTCATGGCCCATGGTCTCGTTTTCCATACAAAAATAAGATTATTTGTGTAGGTACACAAATGTACATTGGTGTCAATCAAACGTTAATTGAGGGGGACCGTATTCACTTTCAATAGAAATTAGCCTGGCATAACAGATTATGTGAATTTGGTCCCCCTCAATTGACGCCCATGCAAATGTATACTAGAGTCTTTCTCATTATGTCCCGTCTTTCCCTAAGAAGTCATGTAGGGGAAATTTTAATTATAGGGGAAATAATATTTCTTAAACGTTAGTCGTAAATACTTACTGCAAAGTTCTTTAAACGGTTTCACGTTAAAATGACATTGATATTCAAAATAAAGATATGTTTTCAATCCTGGACACCAGTCACTCGGAAACAAGGTGTTATCCACAAGCATACTACATTCATGAAGACCATCACATTTCTTCTTTACAAGACATGTTACATCAAGTTCACAACTATAATCCGTTAAAATCAAACCACAAGTCTTTGTTGCGAGTAATCCACGGAACGAGGCAATCTTGACCACCATGTATTGATTTTTAGGACAGTTGGCATTCTTCACCATATCACCATAACATGTCACGGAACCTTCATTAACAAATACATGCAATTTTTCTCTGTTTTAAAACTTTGCCAGAATATTTATCTTATTTGAAGGGATACCGCAATTAAAATTATCATTGTCTATTTTAAAAGAGCGTCATGATTATGTACAAAAATTCGTTTACGGATTTTTGTTAACTTTATTACTTCTCAAGATATTTTCGAATGAAATAATCTTCCATCCGCCATTTTGGATATGCATATTCTTGCTCTGATATGCATGACGTCTTAAGCTGCAAGAAAATTCGTTTTGTAACTTTAAATTAACGACCCAGCGAAGTGATAGTTCCATTGTATTACAATTCCACGTATCTCAAATTATAACGTTTGAATTATAAGAGTTCTAAACTAAAGCGTGAACATGTAATTGTTATTTTTTAAGCGTTAACCCTGCTTTCGACATCACGTAATTATAGATCTCATTATAAAATAAGATGGCGGATGTATCCCGATATGCGATGTTGTTAATCGCCAATATCTTGCGAAGTAAGAAAGATAAACAAATTTTGTAAAAAGGCTCTATAAGAAGTGTGAAATTTTCTTTTCAACAAAACAGAAATAATTTTTATTGCCATATCCTTCAAAACAACCTTTCCTGTGGAAAATATATGTCAGAGTCATTTCTTCTTTGTGAATGAATATATGCATAAATAAAGTAATTACTTCTGTTCGTTTCACAATCCTTAAAAATAATCACTAATAAAAATTTAATATAATTTTACTAATTTAATTTAATTTTACTCATGTGATATCGGGTTATTGTAAAGTTTCGAGAGGATAAACTGAATATATAATTAACACTTATTTACCGTGACGGAAGGAAACATAATGTTTTCTGTAAATAAGATTTTTTTATATACCACTTTTCCAAGAAAAAATAAACACAAGGTAAACAGTGGAAGATCTATTCATAAAAAAACATTATTTAATTTCAAAACGGAGGAACAGTCTAAAGGTCGACACAGACTGGACGCGAAGCGGCAACGCAACGCGAATTTTGAGTTTTCAGAAGCATATAAATTAAATTCTGGAAGCAAAATTTGAATCTATTGACGCCAGAGCAGTCAAAATGTATTATTATTATGTAATATACCAGAATATTATGATAGGTTAAAATTTATTTGATTTTGAAAAATAAAAAACGTTAAAAATTCGCGTTGCGTTGCCAATTCGCGTTCTCTCTATGTGGGCCTTAAAGGTCGTATGTCCAGGTGCGCCCCACGCGATTAAAGTTTTTATTATACATTGGGGGGGAAATTTCGTTACTCTTCCAATGAAACGCTACTAATGAAACACCAAACTTTGACAAGTGGTATATTGTAATAACATCATTTAAACTGTATGCAAATTAGCTTTGTAGTATTAAATACTTACGTGCGTGCCTACAAGCTAATTTACTTATACAGGGTGTATCAGAAAAAACTAGATTCTAAAATGTTCAGAGAACTATCATTTCATCAAGATATCTCAAAAATATATTTACGTCTAAGTATTTTAGCATCTTCTGGCTTATCTAACAGTAAAAACTAGCAGAAAAATTAACCTCGAAAAGCGGGAGAACGGTTTGTAAAAGCCTCATTTTTAACCGCTTGAGCAAAGAAAATGAGACGTGGAAAATCCAAGTATAAATAAACATTAGGTCAGCCGCGAAACGTTTCAAAATTGGATTCTTTTTTCCCCGTTTACTCCGCTCTCTCATAACTTTTTACACGAAAGAATGATTACATGCATGAGTGATAGTTGGAATGACATAATTACCAGCACTCTTTGTTAAATGAAAACAATAAAACAAGAGTATTCATTGTTAGTTATGCTTAAGTACTTCATTCCAACTATGCACTATGCATTATGCGATACATTGCACAAAAGATTCCAAACTTTCACCTCTTTAACTGAACTTGGATTTTCAACGTCTCATTTTCTTTGCACAAGCGGTTAAAAATGCATGAGGCTTTTACAAACCGTTCTCCCGCTTTTCGAGGTTAATTTTTCTGCTAGTTTTTACTGTTAGATAAGCCAGAAGATGCTAAAATACTTAGACGTAAATATATTTTTGAGATATCTTGATAAAATGATAGTTTTCTGAACATTTTAAAATCTTCTAGTTTTTCTGATACATCCTGTATTCATATATCACCACGCAAAATTGCAAGAATATTATCATTCAAATTCTTACCATCAACATACCAGAGAAACGTGAATGGTTAGTAAATACGATCAAACAAACAAAATTTTGCTTTGAAAACATCGAATTAACCGTTAGGGACGACACTTTTTCAAACATCCATATTTCTTTATTTCAAGCAAGCATTCTCTACTAAATGAAAAAAACGCATGAAAAATATAAGATATGTCTATCAGAGACCTACCGAAAATAAATCTTTGGTTCCAGTTGTCACATCTTGTACTCAGTCCAATGTGTTGATTGATTGCGTATTTTTTGCTAAGTTGATAGTTATATTCATAGGTTGCACACCAGGTTTCAAATAAACTCTTGCCATGCCCTTTATAATAAACAGATAATGCTCCCTGTGTGGTCTGGTTTATAGCGCGATAGATTCCCTTGTTGGGATTTTGAGCACAAGCAGCTGTGTCCAGGCTTACTGAGTCGACGTAAAGATAAAATAAATCAAGATTAAAACCAGAACCAGACAAAGAACCACCGGCAAGACAACCTTGTCTATTCAAATTCAACATGGCGCCATTTTCTCGAAACCGAAACTGAGCTGTCAGGTGAAGACAGCTGTCGCCAGAAAGTTCCAGAAAATATAAGTTTCCCCAACTGCCGTTTGACTGTATTATACCTGTGTCATTAATACAGTAGGGAACTCCACTATGACCATCCCAAAAACGCACGAAGAAACAAGCCACATCTGCGAAAGAGGAAAACGATGCAAAACTACAATGCAAAGTAATTAAAACCAAACAAGACGCCGGCTCGGCGTTTACCTTGGGTCGGTGCATATAGGGTTTGTTTGGAAACTTTAGTGTGGTATAAACCATGGTTTAAAAGACTATTAAACTATTTGCAATGCTAAAGCTCCGTGACTGCATGATTCATTCTGCCACATATGAAAATTGACCATTCCAATGTAATTGTTTACGAATCAGGGTCCCTGACCATCAAATACCGACAAAATGAATTGAAGCAATTGTGCTTGCGAAGCTATAACGTAACACACACAACTAATTATTCTTGTGAAATTTTATGATGAAGTGACTTGCAAATTTAACGTTTCATACGGATTAAATATTATTATTTAAGTATGGAGTAACAGTTGGTTTATCTAACACGCAAAGTCGAATCTATCAACGAATCTAAATTATTAATATTATAATTTCCACACAATTCTGTCATTTTCATGTGTTAATTTGCACTCAAAATAAACTTCGATCATAAATAAATTTTCAGTTTAATTTCTTGGAGATCCATTAAGGCAAATTCAATTTCATCTGTCTTCGCATCAATAGACAAGCCAGCTTTGTTAAAGATGAGGTAAAGTCCGTTCTGCGCATAAATTCCGCGCATCAACACATTCCATCAGTGGGAGCAACTTTTGGAATGTTAATGATATGCGATATTAGCGCGTTGTATTACAAACGGCAGTTCGGGAGCACAATTATTTTATTTTATGTCGCAAGGCGAAGAGGCTCGAATTGCGAGTCACGACGATAACTTATCTTATCATAAAGCTGCTAGAAAAAGCAATATTATGCTGAAAGGAATGCTCCAAGAATTTATTTGTTGAATAAAGCCCGAAATGGCGAGGCTATTTGTTGTCGCTACAGACGCCACCTTCTCGCTTGTCCTACAATTACAAATATATAACGTTTTAAATAACGGCCGGTTTATTTACAAGCTTCGCTTTATATTTTCTTCAAAATATAACAATATTTTCTTCAAAATATAATAAAAAATAAGCATATTCATCACAGATCACAGCCCGTCGAGCGAGAAGAAAATAATAAATTATAACGACGCATACGTCATGTAAAGATTATATAACCAACGTAAACAAACATTGTTATGCGCAGAATATATGCTCAGAACGGACTTTACATCATCTTTAAGCAAAACGGTAAAACGGTGTTTTGATTATGACGTAACCTTCGGAAAACTCCGTAAATGTCGTGCGATTCGAAGATTGAAGAGTAAGAAGTTGCAGTAATTTATGCGCCGTGGCCGCGAGGGAGACTGCTACCTAGAACCCCACCAAAAAAAAATAATGAAAAAAACAAAGCCGAATTTATGACCTTATGTCTACCGACCCAAGGTAATTAATAATTAATAAAGCCCACGCTACACTCAGGATTCGCCTTCGTTGACTATTCGCTCATAGACAACTCGGACTCTTTGTCTAATTGTTAAAAAAAAACACGCTTCTCGACCAATCAGCACGCGCGTACTATAAATGTTATATTGTAATGACAATTTACATACAGAGAATAAAGTAAAATTTCCAATGGGACTAAAAATTGGACTATTTAACATAGTTAAAGATGGCTGTTTACGACAATTACGATTAAGTATAAACCAGCCCGTATAGTCGCATTTACATTATGAACAACATAACTTGCAAGTCAACACGGACATGATAAGGGCGAGCAATTCACTTGCGCGCAAAAAGTATACGATGGATTAGTGCACAATGCAAACTACCTTTCCGGACTAATTTAGCCAGATATTGGCATCTCTTTTAAAACATAACTAATGCGTTACAAGTACCGATACTCTGGTTTTAAATAATGAAAGTAATCAAAGACTACATTCATGCAACAACCAAAGAAAAAGTATTCTTTGACTACTTTCATCATTTAAAACCAGAGTAGCGATTAATGCGATGGATTGTATTCCTGGTTGTCTGGACGTGTTAACTTCAATTCATTTCAAACCAAAGCCGGCAACTTACCTTGGAGAGAAAGAAAAAAAGCAAGCAAGGTAACAAAATGAACACATCTTGGCAACATCTTCAATCGGAATTTGGAAAGAAAATACGTTTTAATTCCTGAAATAATTTTTTAGAATTCGTGAATGCGAGTGAATGCGAAAGACGAGACGAAGATACTGGGAAAAGCATCGTTTTACATATTTCCGTGACTTTTAACCCCTTAATCCAACGCACCTATTGTTATTTCGGTAAAATGGGTAAATAATGTATATAATATAATAAGCTCATGCATTCATGAGCATGATAAAATTACTATACTATACCTATACCGTCACGCTTATACTGCTAGAATAATGATGGTAAAGTAAAGTGTCGTCTACCTTAGACAAGCATTCGAAGATTGGGTTTAAAATATATTAGACAACCACTCAGAATTAATTTAATTGAATGGCTTGAATACTAATGGGGATATGCAGGTCCAAACATGCTGTTAAAAATTATCTCCAAGACAAACGGGATTTGCCATATCATATGATTTTGGAAAAAAAACACTGAAAAGTGGAGAAAACGCTGACTGTTGCGATCACGTTTAAAGGGAAAACCCGCATAAGTGTTACTGTGCAGAATCCAGACCCCATCTACTAACCTTAGAGGATTCATTCAATGAATAACTTCGTGGATTTTGCGCATTGAATTATAACCATGTCGTCCATCATATCTGACTCAGGTTATGTGCACACGAGCGTCGTTTTCAAGCGTTTTCAAAATCATTTTTTTCTATTTTATTGCTTAGACGCCCTTGACCTTGTCTACACGATCCTAAAAATATTCCTGATATATTAAATTAGCTTCAACTTCTATTGTAAATTGACAGTGTTTGAAACCGTTTGCACGAAAACGAATGTGACAGCAGAAAACGCTCGGAAACGTTGCCGTGTGCACATAGCCTCAATCATAATCATGAATTTCACCCGCTCTCGCCAAATAACTTCTTCTCTAAAAGCTATTTAACGGCTTGATTTTTACTCGAGAAGTATTAGAAGGAAATTTCCGTGAATTATCCGTGATAAAATTGCGTTTAAACCAGTTTAGACAAAATATCTATAGCTACTGACATTGTATTAGTGATCAAATTTCCGTTCAACAGCGTTTGCATGAAATATGTTTGGTATTTGTGAAGGCTGGCCTCCCAGCGTGAGAAAGATAATTAATTTGACGGCATATAATATGCTGGTGGATGGATTTTACATAATCACGATTTGAGAAAGGTGCGTTTCAATATCTCTGTGACTGTGTTGGGCGGGTAACATTCTCACCGGTTTTGAAAATATTTCAAAACGCCGATGAGACTTGCATGAAAGATATATACGTGCATAGTATTATAGTCATAATTATATAGTTGTTGTATTTTTCTCCACGTACTGCTCCGCTCAAATTTCCATGAACTATGCAACTCTGAAATTTTTCTTCATCGAGCGAGATTATATATACCAAAAATTATATCCCTAGTAGTAGAGGTCATCCACCATAAAACGTAATCTACTTCGTAAGGTGTATACGTGTATGGTTCTATGGTCTATGAAGTAGGCTGACTTCGAAATCAACTTGATGTAAAATGGTTTGTTTATATGGCAACGCTCTGATATTTTGGGTTTGAATTTTTAGAATTTTAGAATAGATTCATTCGATTTTGACCAATCATCTTAAAGCTACAATTTTCAATATTCCATTGCTGTTGTAATATAGAATCTTCTTATATACCAAAGCATGTATTCTTTCTCGAATACTGATAAATATTGCCAAACCGGAATATAAACAATTAACTTCCGGCTAGAATTAGCGTTTATAATGAAGACAGACTTTCGTTTCCTCATATGTTGAGAAAGTGCACAAAATGAGGTCTAACCACAACCTCGCGCTATGGTCTAATTTCGTTGGAAATTGGAAAGTTTTGAATGAATGTTTTGAATATTCAATAATAAGTGGGAGACTGGGAGCATTTGGCCTTGGGATAACTTGGAAAGCAAAATTTGTGGATTTCACAAAGTTATAGCCATAGGAGTTCGGCAATTAACTGGCAACCCCTAAACAAAATGTGGATGTACTGTATAGGTAATGTTTTGTGAGGCAGTTACTCTTTTATCAGTATAAACTATACAACTAAGAACTGCATGTTCAGTTCCGGATGATGTATGTACTAAAAAGCTGACATCATCAACATGAAATAACTCATTTTTAACTATAGTGTGCAGAGCATACATCATACTAGGTCAAGCAGGAACCTGCACTTGTGACCGGTGCATGCATTAAACAAACAGCAAACTATATTCAAATTCCTAAAAGCCCATTTTGTTCAACCGCACCTCGATTTGGTTTGTATGGGCGTTTGATAAGCAAGTCAAGTACTATATGTGATAATGACAAAAGTTTCAATGATAATGACCAACATTTCAGTAGGCATCATACTGTTCATGCAGCTAACATGATACCCTCCTCTTGGGGGAACAGTAAAAATTTTGAATGAGAATATGCCCGATTTGAATTTCAAAATTTCCCAACTCAATTAGGCAATTAAATAAAATTAGTTTTATTTATTTATGTAACAAATCTGATTAATTAATTGACACAGAGTTATTCTCAGTTATTAAAGGGTCATTGCCACAAGTTTTTCTATGATTATATATAGTTCAGCGATAACTTTTAAGCTATTATTTATTACAATGATTTATTAGCTACTTTGTTATATATTTATTACAATTATTTATTAGCTACTTTATTATTTATTACATGTGCTCTACAATCTGAGCAGGCCTTCCACAATCTAAACTCTACCTTTTTAGATAAGTTAGATTAGGAATCTATCATTCTCATGAGTGAAAATTACTCCATCAATTACTCCATATATTTTTAAAAAACTATTCCAAGTTTACTTCAAAAGCGATATGGTGTTTCTTAAACCAATTACAACAAATGTTCAACTGTAGATTTTATAGAAAGGCAATTAAGGCATGACATCTGCACGCAATACCCCATACCTGCCTCCCTTTAGACAATTGTGTATACAGTATGTATATACAATTAGTGATTAACAACTTGTATTACAATATTCATTATAGTTATATGTAGGGAGGATTTGTCCTTTCAAAATATTTGCTGACGGTAGTAAAATATGACCAGCCATTTATAATTGCCTGGTTGAACTAGAAATTTAGCTTTGTGAGAACACATACTTGTAGCAAATCTGAGATGTTGTGTGAGATGTTGACTCGTCATTAGGTCAACTTGCTCAAAAGGCAATTTTCATGGTGATTAGAAACTATCATTCCTTTGTTATACATAGTTTAATGTTTCCATTTGAAAGAAATATTGTATATTAGCTATAAACTTTTTCATGTCAGGGAAATTGGAGTCAAGTACAGGCCAAGGGCACAGCCAAGGGCCAGGTCAATGCCAGGCAGGAGCATGGTGATCAGTAGGATATGGAGGGATTTGTCCCCAACCCCCTCCCAATAATCCACAATAATGAAATGTTGGTCAAATTTGTTATTGGTAAAAATGCAGCTTCAAATTCAACTAAATTGGCTAAAACTAATCACTGTTTCCTAAGCTTCTTGTAAATGAAAAAAGCATTTTAACTAAACATTGTTAATCCTCATTCACAATTCTCAGTAATTTTCTCAGCTCTTGCATGCAGTCACAAAAATAGAAACTGGTCAAATTTCTTATTGGTGAAAAATAAAGCTTTAAATTCAATTAAATTTGCCAAATGTAATGACTGTTTATAGTTAAGAAGAACATATTTGAACTAAACTGTTTATTCCTTATTCACAATTCTTAGTATTTTCTCAGTACCAGTCTCATCATTGGAGGATATCTCAGTAATTGCCAGATACAGTGAACATGATGGGTATCAGGGCAATGCTTCAGGTGCTGGGCTTGACAGGCTACACCTAATAAAATGTAACTAACTTTAGGTAAACACATATACCACCATTTAGTGATGTCTTTGATTAATTTACTGTGAATTGTGAAACACCTTATCAAGCTAAATTTGTATATTATACTTAAAGGGAAGCTTAAATTTGGGGGGGGGGAGAATCAAGCGTAAAAACAATCTCCATCAAAAGAGCTCAGTCGGAAGATGAATATATGAAGCTCCCCCCCCTAATGAAGCTTCTAGTCCCTGTGACTCTTTACTGTTTAACAAATGGCATATAAATGCAAATTATATCACGTGAATTGAAAATCTTGATTCAACTATTTGATGGTACGTCAGACAGAAATTCTCAGGGTCATAGCTGGCCTGCTAAAATGGGAGGGTGGTAATTCCATATATTCATTTTTACATATTGGAACAATAGCTTCCAAAAGAAATCAGTCAGGCATAAGTCGAATGTATGAATATGCACCGTTTAATTATAAGCTTACTCTTCTAAGAAATTATGGAGAACCTGGCTAGCTTCCTGTAAACTACTGTATAATTTTGCACTTTATGTTTTATTAGACATTTTATCATTTTTTTCTAGAAAAATGAAATGTTTTTTCCTTCATTCTTTGCTTGTAAACAGTGGTTTAGGCCTTTTCTCTCAGTGATTGTGATTTAGTGGTGTGAGAGGCTCTCATATCACTGATTCTTAATCTATACTTTAATCCGGCTGTAATGAAAACTTATTATTTAACTTAATATTAAAAGTCTGTTCCCGCTTATTTTGTTCCAGATGATCCCAGATATCTATTCGTTTCCGTGGACAATACCTGGACATCATACACAAGATGGCTTCGATCGATTTGCAAGAAAAAGCAAATTTTACAAGACTTAGTAGACTTTTGGTTGACAAAGGAACTGACGCTTTGAGAAATACATTTGATACCATCCATCCACCTGTTAGTCTACCTGGAGTACTGGCTGCAAACAAAACATCTCTTCAAAGAATAAAACCTCGAATTATTAATAATTCCCAGTGGGATTTACTGTTTCCTCCGTCTGGGAACCCGCCAGATTCCAAAACCTTTGATGTCACATTACTTACAGTTCTATTCCGGAACATTTGTGGTTTTCCATCAACAGGATGGGGTGTAATGCCTCCGGATACTGATAGGTCAACGCAAGCAAATATCGCAAGAATCAAGTGG